TTAAGGAAGATTACCATTCCTGACAATCTATCCATCTCTCCCAGAGTGTGATATGGTACCCTAAAAGCACCAATTTTGTATTTTCTTTATAGTGACTAAGGAATGGAAACTCTGGTAAAAACTGATAATCTATACCTAAAATTGGGGACCAGAATTATGAATCTCCTTCCTTTGAAAAGCAAAGGTTGGCAAATAAAACAATGTGCATGGTTTGATGGAGCATTGTATGCTCCACATACTGATTTCAACCCACCACACTTATAACTTTTCGAAGAGGGAATTAGTAGTGTAAAAGTTGAGTGTACAAGTCATTTCATTTGTTTCAGCATGTGTAAAGTTCTGTTTAGCCTGCTGGCATGGAGTATATTTAGATGGAAAAAAAGACTTGAGCCCAGGCAGGCAGAATCTTTTTTTTATAATACTGTTTGTACTAGTGAAGATAATTACATGTACCAAATCTTTAATAGGAGGTGGCATCTGAACTAGCCTCCACCACTCCCTCTCAAGGCAGCAATCAATAGTAATTCCTAAAGGTCAAGATTAATAAGTAACTACATAAGGTGATTTGTATTTTTTACTTTCACCCGATTGCCTCCTCAAAGTCTTTGACCCTATAGACATTCAGCAAGTCCACATCTCAGATTTTTATCCAACCGGGTTTCTTAAATGCCTCTTTATATGATTTAAGCAATTTTTCAAAATTTACACTCTGTTACTGGCCTCTACAATAGAGATTTGCGTATGTCAGATCAAATTTAAAACTTGCATTTTGAGTTTATTTTTTATATGTTATCCTAGCACCATTTTATTGCATTTTAATGAAAAAGACTTTTACTGAAAACGAAGATCTCCTCGAAATAAAAAAAAATTATCTATTACGCACGAAAAATTTGTTAAAAATTAAAAATGCATCTTTCGGATTACACATGCTGTTCTGACGTCTGTAACGGTTAAGTGCAGGAACATTTTTTCCATTTTTTTTAAACCCACTTTCTGTCATCAAACCTTTCATAAAATCAGCACCAGACGTTGAGCTAAATTTGAGAAATTTGACGTAACCCATTTTAATACAATCCTTACCATTAGGTCTAAGCTGTAAGACTTATGGCCCATGGCCTGTTTTCGCTAACTTTTTCAAGATTAATCGGAAATGCATTGCATTCGAAATAACATCGTAGTAAGTTTCTGGTGTTGGGAGCTGCAGAAATATTTAAGAGTTGGATAGACAATAGGCCTACACATTTGCATCAGTACTGCTAGACGTCGACATATTCCCCGCCGTGCCACTTGGTTACCCTCGACCAACTCCAGTTTCATTTTACTACTTGGTATGTATTACTGCAGTAAGACCTACCTGCTAAAGCCGAGTTTCCGCAGTGGTCGGGAAAAACAGTCGACCACTCTCAGGTCCGAAGTTACTCCTGCATTTGCTTAAAGCAATCAAGGCCTTATCGTCCGCATCAGTAAAATACGCAATCTTTGATGACGTTTTACTCACTTTATGACAATCACTACTAAAATTAAAACCAGAGTGGAAATTTGCGGATACAAAATAAATTTTACATTATCTGCAGTCTGCTTTTTTCTTTCGCTCAAAAAAGAAAATAATACAATAATGGTAGAACTATACTTTTAATATGAAAAAATAAGATAAGAAATTATGCATTACAGATGAAAATTACATCAGTAATCACAAATCCATTGTCAAAATCAAGTAAATGCCAGAAGCATATCTGTGCAATATGTCAGTATACAACACACATAGGTCTATGTTAATATCGTTTAAACCACAAAATTTGTCTTTTACATGTCAGTATACACCACATATGTGTATAAAATGTCAGCATACACATTTTCCATAATGTAAACAAACATCACACACTTGTATTGAAATACATCACACATGTGTCTATTATGTCACCAGATGTCACACACATGTCCATGATATAACATTCCATCACAATTCCCTCATCATTAAGTCATCATACACACCTGTTTATAATGTCACCATATAATGTCACCATACATCACATACCTGCCCATAATGTCACAATACATCACACACCTGTCTGAAATGTCACCATACATAACATACCTGTCTATGTTGTCACCCTACACCCCACACGTCCATAGCAGTCATAAATCACACACCTGTCCATAATATCACCATACATAAAGCATCTGTCTGTAATGTAACCATACATCACATATTGTCTATAATGTCACCATACATCACATACTCTCTATAATGTCACCATACATCACATACTGTCTATAATGTCACCATACATCACATACTGTCTATAGTGTCACAATACATCACACAACTGTCTATAATGTCAACATACATCACATATTGTCTATAATGTCACCATACATCACATACTGTCTGTAATGTCACCATACATCACATATTGTCTATAATGTCACCATACACCACATACTGTCTATATTGTCACCATACATCACATATTGTCTATAATGTCACCATACATCACATAGTGTCTATAGTGTCACAATACATCACATACTGTCTTTAGTGTCACAATACATCACACAACTGTCTATATGTCATCCTATATCCCAAACCTATCTATAATATCATCATACACCCCACACATCTATAACCATGTAATATATCACATTTATGTGTATATTATTGCAATACATTTCACACCTGCCTATAAGTATGGCCATACATCACACACCTGTCTACAATATTGCAATACATCACACACCTGTCTACAATATTGAAATACATCACACACCTGTCTATGAAGTCATACATCACACACCTGTCTACACTATTGCAATACATCACACACCTGTCTACAATATTGCAATACCTAACACACCTGTCTATAATATTGCAATACATGACACACCTGTCTATGAAGTCATACATCACACACCTGTCTACAATATTGCAATACATCACACACCTGTCTACAATATTGCAATACATCACACACCTGTCTACAATATTGAAATACATCACACACCTGTCCATGAAGTCATACATCACACACCTGTCTACAATATTGCAATACATCACACACCTTTATATGAAGTCATACATCACACACCTGTCTACAATATTGCAATATATCACACACCTTTATATGAAGTCATACATCACACACCTGTCTATGAAGTCATATATCACACACCTGTCTACAATATTGCAATACATCACACACCTGTCTATGAAGTCATACATCACACACCTGTCTACAATATTGCAATACATCACACACCTGTCTACAATATTACAATACATCACACACCTGTCTACAATATTGCAATACATCACACACCTGTCTACAATATTGCAATACATCACACACCTGTCTACAATATTGCAATACATCACAAACCTGTCTATGAAGTCATACATCACACACCTGTCTAGTATATTGCAATATATCACACACCTGTCTATGAAGTCATACATCACCCACCTGTCTAGTATATTGCAATATATCACACACCTGTCTATGAAGTCATACATCACACACCTGTCTATGAAGTCATATATCACACACCTGTCTACAATATTGAAATACATCACACACCTGTGTATGAAGTCGTACATCACACACCTGTCTATGAAGTCATACATCACACACCTGTCTACAATATTGCAATATATCACACACCTTTATATGAAGTCATACATCACACACCTGTCTATGAAGTCATATATCACACACCTGTCTATGAAGTCATACATCAAACACCTGTCTATGAAGTCATATATCACACACCTGTCTACAATATTGCAATATATCACACACCTTTATATGAAGTCATACATCACACACCTGTCTATGAAGTCATACATCACACACCTGTCTATGAAGTCATACATCACACACCTGTCTACGAAGTCATACATCACACACCTGTCTATGAAGTCATACATCACACACCTGTCTATGAAGTCATACATCACACACCTGTCTACACTATTGCAATATATTACACACCTGTCTATGAAGTCATACATCACACACCTGTCTATGAAATCATATATCACACACCTGTCTATGAAGTCATACATCACACACATGTCTATGAAGTCATACATCACACACCTGTCTATGAAGTCATACATCACACACCTGTCTACAATATTGCAATAAATCACACACCTGTCTATGAAGTCATACATCACACACCTATCTTTGAAGTCATATATCGTACACCTATCTTTGAAGTCATGCATCACACACCTTTCTATGAAGTCATACATCACATATATCTCTTAAATATCATCATATATCACATACCTGTCAACAATGTCATCATACATTACACACCTAGCAGGAAAGAAGGAAATGTGCTTTAGTACAGGGGAAATTTTCATGTAAAATATGTTATAAAGATAGATGGTGAGACAAAAAGGTGAGAGTTTTATCACAGGGCGCTCAAATTAGATTAAATATAGTATGTAATTCTTCAGGGGTGCTGTTTTGTAAACATCAAAATAAACGTGTCTTTTAATTAGCTTAATTGCGTCTTTTTCAATAAACCAACATTGCATAAATTTGTTATTTCTTTAAATTTACAAATCACCCATTGCAATATTAATATTACAGCCTGTATTATTGGAAAAACTTTATGAATTACCTTATACAACAGAATGTTCAAAATAATTTGTCATGAAAGTAAGCTTTAACGTATAGCATAATGTAGCTTCATTTGCATGAGAATAATTTTGATATTGTTTAGTAGTGATACGTGGAGATTGTTAACCATTACTATCAGTTTCCATTTTGTTTCAGAAAGAAATGAATAAACTGAATTTCAGAGTATGACATACATATAAATCTTTTTCTGTATTATATCATAAATTATATTTTTTGAGAGTGTACTTGGTGAAAGTTTGTTACACTGCCCCAACTTATAATGTAGGTGTTTTTTAATCCTCTGGAATGTTTTTGTTTGACAGGTTTTTTATCAACATATACAGTAATTAATTTTACAACACAGCTTCGTCAGGTAAATAGTTATCTTTCTTTATTCAATAAATCTTAATCACAATCGTTGTGGTATAATTTTGCTTCTCCATTATGAGATTTGTTCAAGTTACTTGTTGTTCTGTTTTGTCAGAGTCACACACAACTTTATTATCACTGTCCTTTTCTATGCAGTTTTGACCTTCGGTGGGCTCGATTAGACTTTCTGAATCTGTATTATCACAGTTAGTAGTCACCTGGTTGTCACTAGAAAGATCTTCATCTGACACCTCCCCCTCCTCCTCATTTGAGTGCTTATCAAGTGATTCCTTGTGTTCACGATCACTTAAATCCTTCAGTTCAACTCCCTTCCTTTGAGGTAATACTGTGTAGAATGCTTTTTGCCAGTCTTTCGTTTCTGTGTAACTCAGTAGAATTTCAAATACTGAAAAAGCAGAAAAACTTGAGACTTTATTTCAATACTGTCATTTAGATATTCAAAATTTATTTTCTAATTTAAGACTGATTTTCAAAATAATCAGAAAATAAAATCTTAATGATTGCAAAAGATCAAATGGTGAAGGATTTCTCAATCTTTTTCCTTAAACAATAAAAAATAAACATCTCAGAATTACTTTAATCCTACAACCATAAACATCTCAAATTTACTTTAATCTTACAACCATAAACATCTCAGAATCACTTTAATCCTACAACCATAAACATCACAGGATAACTTTGATCCTACAACCATAAACATCACAGGATAATTTTGATCCTACAACCATAAACATCTCAGAATTACTTTAATCCTACAACCATAAACATCACAGGATCACTTTGAGCCTACAACCATAAACATCACAGGATAACTTTAATCCTACAACCATAAACATCTCAGGATCACTTTGATCCTACAACCATAAACATCACAGGATCACTTTGATCCTACAACCATAAAAATCACAGGATAACTTTGATCCTACAACCATAAACATCACAGGATAACTTTGATCCTACAACCATAAACATCACAGGATAACTTTGATCCTACAACCATAAACATCACAGGATAATTTTGATCCTACAACCATAAACATCTCAGAATTACTTTGATCCTACAACCATAAACATCACAGGATAACTTTATTCCTACAACCATAAACATCTCAGAATTACTTCAATCCTACAACCATAAACATCACAGGATAATTTTGATCCTACAACCATAAACATCTCAGAATCACTTTGATCCTACAACCATAAACATCACAGGATCACTTTGATCCTACAACCATAAACATCTCAGAATCACTTTGATCCTACAACCATAAACATCTCAGAATCACTTTGATCCTACAACCATAAACATCACAGGATAACTTTGATCCTACAACCATAAACATCACAGGATCACTTTGATCCTACAACCATAAACATCTCAGGATCACTTTGATCCTACAACCATAAACATCTCAGGATCACTTTGATCCTATAACCATAAACATCACAGGATAACTTTGATCCTACAACCATAAACATCTCAGGATCACTTTGATCCTACAACCATAAACATCTCAGAATCACTTTGATCCTACAACCATAAACATCTCAGAATCACTTTAATCCTACAACCATAAACATCACAGGATAACTTTAATCCTACAACCATAAACATCACAGGATCACTTTGATCCTACAACCATAAACATCTCAGAATCACTCAAATCCTACAACCATAAACATCTCAGAATCACTTTGATCCTACAACCATAAACATCACAGGATAACTTTGATCCTACAACCATAAACATCACAGGATAACTTTTATCCTACAACCATAAACATCTCAGAATTACTTTGATCCTACAACCATAAACATCACAGAATAACTTTAATCCTACAACCAAAAAGTAGGAATATGATTTCCATCAAACATGAGAACAATCCACTAAGAACTTCTCAAGAAAAAGATAACAAAATTGAAGTATCAAAATAATAGATCGCCAAATGTCAGCCATTTTTTAAAATTCTATTTCAATCTCGAAAACAATAACTAAGTACCAAAGGAAACTTTCAAATGAAACCAGAAAATAATACATACTGTGCTTTAACAGTCAAAATTTAAAATGCCTATCTGTTGCCATTTTTCCCTCTGAATTAGTCTAGTAATTAAAGGACCAAAGGAAACTTTCAAATGAAACCAGAAAATAATACATCCTGAGCTTTAACAGTCAAAATTTAAAATGCCTATCTGTTGCTATTTTATCCCTCTGAATTAGTCTAGAAATTAAACATGAACAACATAGGACCAAGGAAAACCTACTCTCAAAATAAAAGATGGCCATCCATCTCCAAATTTGTTTTCTGATTAGTTTCAGAATTGCTACAGCTGCTGACCAGTGGGACCCTTCACATGATATTTAAGAATGAACCCTTCTCTGGAAACCTAATAATAGTTGGCTGAGAAGGATGACATACCATGGTTGATTGTAAGTACTTTACGTGACTTCAGCTGTATGTATTCTGATATTGGAAGCTGTGCATGTGCCAAGCCTTTTTCTACTGCCACCTGATAGCAAAGGCCCTGGCAAAAAATAGAATCATAGATATTTGTATATAGATGTTGATACATGTACTAGTGAAATAAATTCAAAATAATGACTTTTTATTCAATACTTATTTATTTTTTAAATTTAATTTAATCTAATTTAATGACCTTATGAACGCAGGCTTTAAGCCTTTATATCCATATCTGAAATACAGTGATAAATATACATATTGTATTAATGGCTTTTAAAAGTTAACGCATATCATAGTTATCAATAATCATAAATTATATCTTAGTCCACAGGTCTATCAATGATGTAGACTTACCTTGTGATGGTTATGGTCCACAGGTCTATCAATGATGTAGACTTACCTTGTGATGGTTATGGTCCACAGGTCTATCAATGATGTAGACTTACCTTGTGATGGTTATGGTCCACAGGTCTATCAATGATGTAGACTTACCTTGTGATGGTTATGGTCCACAGGTCTATCAATGATGTAGACTTACCTTGTGTTGGTTATGGTCCACAGGTCTATCAATGATGTAGACTTACCTTGTGATGGTTATGGTCTGCAGGTCTATCAATGAGGTAGACTTACCTTGTGATGGTTATGGTCTGCAGGTCTATCAATGATGTAGACTTACCTCATGATGGTTATGGTCTGCAGGTCTATCAATGATGTAGACTTACCTTGTGTTGGTTATGGTCCACAGGTCTATCAGTGATGTAGACTTACCTTGTGATGGTTATGGTCCACAGGTCTATCAATGATGTAAGACTTACCTTGTGATGTTAATGGCCCACAGGTCTATCAATGATGTAGACTTACCTTGTGTTGGTTTTTGGACCACAGGTCTATCAATGATGTAGACTTACCTTGTGTTGGTTATGGTCCACAGGTCTATCAGTGATGTAGACTTACCTTGTGATGGTTATGGTCTGCAGGTCTATCAATGAGGTAGACTTACCTTGTGATGGTTATGGTCTGCAGGTCTATCAATGAGGTAGACTTACCTTGTGATGGTTATGGTCTGCAGGTCTATCAATGATGTAGACTTACCTCATGATGGTTATGGTCCACAGGTCTATCAATGATGTAGACTTACCTTGTGATGGTTATGGTCCACCAGTCCACCAATAATGTATACTTTATCAGGTTCAAGGTCAGAAAGGATGTTTGGAGAATCACTAGACAGATACACTATGGAGTCTTTTTCAAAAAGTTCCTCATAACCTTTCTCTGAACTATGAATCTGCAAAACAAAACAGTGATCTTCAAATCCTCTTGGAAGTGACAAAAAAGACTTTAAATTGTTCTCATTCATTATTTTAAATGCCTAACACTGATATTAAAATTAACCTTTGATTTCCGAAAAGAAATCTTAATTTTAAAATCATCATTTTCTCAATCATTAATCATAATTAAACAATTTTGAAAGTTGCAATGATTTCTAAACCTAACAGCAGTGAAAGGATTGATAGTCAGATCTACTAAAAAGATCAGGTAGGAGTATTCATAAGAGATGGAGAGTTTGCTAATCAGGTGTTAGTTCAAAGTGTGTTTCATCTGATGAGTCATTAGAAGCCTTAAACCTGAAGATTCTAATCAAAAGAAGTTAGCCCAAACTTTCTAATGGACAGACAAAACAGTTTACTGGTAGGGCACCAATAACATAATATAACTCAAGATTAGAAATAGATAATATTGACAAGCTGACAGACTTTAAAAAAAATTAACTCTTTAAAAAATGTAAATACAGCTAAGGACAGAACAACTAAACCCTTAGATTTTAAAGACAGAAAGTTTAGAAATCAGTAGCTAAGTTTAAAATTCCAGAAAAAATGACTTTTAAACTTTTTTAGATCCAGACTGCAATTGGAAAAGACCATAACAATAAAGCATAACAACTGAACAAGCTACATAGAGATCAGTAGAAAATCGAGAGAAAGAAACAATTATGATAGGACAAATGCAAAATGCTATAATGTATTAAAACCTGTCAAATACTTCATTGGATGTATAAACTGTGTCCAAGGTAACTTGAAAATGATGAAAAATAAATTGAGAATTTTTGCTAAAATACTTAGTTTACATTTATTGATGAAATTATCAATGTTTCTTCAGTTGGTAAACATTGATTTGTAGTTTCAAAATAGGTTTGTTCTTAGTTTTTCACAAGCAAATATTTTAACTGTTAAGATTATTTTCATGATTTGTTTCATCACACTGGTATTACAGTACTTACATCCCAATTTTTGTAGTCCCCAACACCATCAAGTCGAGTCTTGATCTGGCCATTAATACCCACAACATGAAGTTGAACAGGATTGGCTGCCCTCCTGTTGGTAGAATAGCACCAACGGATCTGTTTTCCCAATTTCAGAATATCCTATCAACATTGACATCATGATTATAGATATGTATTATCTATATAAAAAAAACATTTTAAATTCATCACACTCATAGTTTTGGACAAATTATATGTTAACATAAATTTACTATAAAAAAGTTAAACAAATATGTTGTGTTGTCCCTTGTCATTCAAAATTTCAGGGAAGTACCTCATAACATAAAGTCAGGAAAGAATGACTCAATATACACATACTTATTTACATATATCATCTTATGTATGATATTTTTGTATCACAGACTGAATTTCATAACTTTATTATTTTGTTTTAATATTTCCTCTAAATCACAACAAACTGGTTTCTATAAAATAACGTACCCTCTCCAACATGTAGTTGTCAAAGGAGCAGTCGATAGCCACAGACACACGACAATCAGACTTGGCCATGGTATTTAGCTTTAACTTTTTACGACTAGGAGCTGGTTCCTCTCCTCTTTCTTTCGCATCTCTGCGTCTTTGCTTTTTCTTCTCTTTATCTTTAGCTCTATAAATAAAGTTGATGCACTTATATTCCAACAAATAAACTTGATATCATTTTAATGGAAACAAGTACACACATTTCCACTTTTTCTCGCTTTCTATCAGCTACTTAAACTCATCCTGCTATACTTTCATTTTTAAATACAATATAAATCTGTCTATTGGTTATCCTTACCAACCCAGTATAATCTATATCAGTTGTTATTATAACAACTTTCATTATTGATAATCATCATGTATTCTGCATATTTGGCAGCAATTAAAACATAATTCATTTCTTTTGTGTGAAATGGTTGGACAGATATGCCCCAGATATGCTTTATGAAGGTAAAATAACAAAATATAGGTTCCAGTGACCTGTATCTGGTACTTGACACATGTCTTCCAAAGTTGTTATCACATACAAATCTTAAAGGTCCTATCCCAATGTTTTTCATGAAAGGAGTGACAGATGCATATTTCATTTCATTTCATCGAACACCACCACCACAACCACCAACATTGATGTCATCATCATCTTCATTGTTAGAATTTCCAATTTTACTGCATCATCAAATTTGTTATAACCAAAAAGGTAGCTAAACTAAAAGTGAAGTACTGGTATTGATTGAAGTCATATGATAAACAAAGCAAAGGTGGGGCGCTCTTCATTACTCCTTAAATCCTATTACAGATTTGGTGCTGTTGAACACACCAAATGGTAGAAGCTTTAGAGGAGCAAGATGCTTCCTTTGAGTTATTGAATCTGGGTTGTTATCTTTGGGGTTTAAGACTTTGAAGTTGTGAGTTCAGGCCATCTAGCTTACCAGCCTCGGCTAGTGGAAATTTCCATTTATTGAAGCAGTAGTGAACCCATCTAGAGACTGATGGGCGACTAGTTCAAACCTCAGTGGGTACCAGGTAATTGTATTACTCCTTCCTCTTACACTATTATAATACTACATAAACATGAACTTTAATAATCTATTGATTTAAAGCTTAATTAGGTTCAAACGTCTAATCACTTCAGGTATTCACTTCAACACAACCACGGCATGTCAGGTTCCCTATTATATCTTAACCGTTGTTATAAACATATTGTCACAATTAATGATCAATATAGGTACCTTTTAATGGGCTTATATTCCAACCATTTTTCGTGTTTTTTAAGTTTTCTCAACTGCCTTTTCGTTAGCTTTTGGACGTCTGTTGGCTCTTCCTCTGCATTTTCATCTGCTGTATTACTTAGAGACTCAGCAGCCGAACTACCAACGTTGTCTGGATGGTGTTCACAGTTGTCGGTGTCACTTTTTACAGATTCACGTATGGAAGTGACGCCTTCTTCGTTCGCTTCCATATTCAAATCCGTATCTTGACACAACGAAAATTGCAGTTGTGTATTTTGTATTGTTTCGGGTTCGATTTCTTTAGGTCTGTTAATGATGAGTCTTACGATACTTTCAAAACTACAACTGACTGGCTGACGCTCACGTTTCAGAGCCTGTTGGGCGCTGACATATTGGTTAACGCGAGATCTCGCGTGATTTCAACAAGAAAAATCGTCTGCTAAGAAACTGAAGCTGAGATGGTGAAGTTGATATGTGTAATATGGTGTGTTCCTTTGTTCTAGTGATCAGTGTTAGGGATCTGATCGAATGGTAATCTTTTTCTCTAGAGACTTCATTGTAGACATAATATATTTATTAAAGATAAGTCTAATTATCTCTTTAACTATTAGCTACTTTATGGCCCACTTGACGACCTTGATACTTATCAACATCCCCACGCAAGTGCCCAGCATGGTTCATTATAAAGTCTCTGGTTACTTTAGATAGCCCGATGTCCTCATATAATCTCTTGTCAAAACAGAAAGAGATGTAAACCTCGATAAGGGTTGGATTATACGTGGCATTAGATGCACAACCCCTCGTCAATGAGCCAACCAGTGATCTAATGACAGCTCTGTACTTGTAGTATATTTTGAACTTTGCTCTCAGAATATGTGGACTTTGGGGTCATATATACAGTACGGTGTTGCCGGTTAGATGTTTCCAAGCGTATTCAGAACTTTGTGTTAAAAAGTTACTGTGATGATGGCTTTGTGGGGAACTTTCCATGTTCTGCTTCTTTTGGTATTGGCTTTGTTGACCAATCAGAGTAAGTGTGATTGTTATACATTATCTATTCCTTCTTTTCCACCACATTTAGGCCATATGAGTGAAGGACTGAGGCTGGTGTGCATCATGTGTGCCTGTGGAGAGGCTGATGATGACGTGGAGTACACCTCCCATCCAAACAACATGTATGGTGTACACCCATTCATACTTTATACAGTTGTGGGTTTCTTTTAAGTTCTTTACAATCACATTATATCACAATCATATTTAAAAAATTGTGTGAATTATGAGTGTATTTAAAATAAAAAAGTAGCCTTTTTTCTTATGTATAGGCCTATACTTATAAATTACTTAAATCAAGGCAGCAGATATAGTCTTTCCTCTTCTGCCCCTTTCATCTCAGCATTGTACAGTCCAAATATCAATTCTTGTTGTATGATTGCTGCTTCTTTATGCAGACATTGATTCAATGTATATATTTTAAGTGATACCTTAAATATGACCTTTAACCTTTACAATACAACACAACATTACGTTGATGGGGTGTCATAGCTACAGTAATAGTATTTTTCTACAAGGTATTTAAATTTTAACAATGTATATGGGGAGCGAGCTTGTGTAAAATATTATAATGTTAATTACTAATTAGACCTCTTCACAGAAAAACTTTTACATGTACCTATGTAATAATCTACAAAATGTGATATCACTAACTTGAAATAAGGATACCTCAAATGCAGTTTAGTGATATCATTAAACATTCATTACTTCCATTAAATAATATAGTTATTAAATATCATTAGATCAATTTATTGATGTTACTTAGATCAGGGATATCAGAGAAATGATCTGAAATTATGATTCTATAAATCTGTTAATTACATCACTATTTTATTTCTCATGAATGATATCAATTAATGTGTAGATTCATTGACTGATATCATAAATTTGAATTAGTGATATCACATTTTGTAGATAATACTAGAAATCAAATTCAAGTCTGTGACGAATATCTTGGCATCATTTCGATGACTACACAGTCACCTTCATCAGACAAGTGACCAGTGTGAAGTATACTAGCACTGACTTAAGTAGTGTACAAGATGGTAAAGAACTGACCCACTTTTTCGGCTGTACGATAATCCTATGTATACTAAGGTTGAAATAGTAAACAGATTATAGACAAAAAAATACACAAGATGGTAACAATGTACTGAAGTCAATATGGCTACACTTTGTTTAACACTTGGGTATAGCTGTGCAAAAGTCTTTGGTTGAGTCAGACCCGAACTCCCTGTTTCTCAGATATACAATGCGTCAAAGTTCTTGCTTCCAATTTTTGGATGTTTTATTCTGAGGATGGACTGGGATATTTCATAGTCTTCATGGCTGCTGCAATACCTTGACCACAGTAAATTTTCTTAATGATTTCTGACAGGCCTTTAGTGAACATAGGAATATTGTACAGGCAAAAAAGTTGGTTGATTCCATATTGTCCTGTACACTACATCAGTCAGTACTAGTATGCTTCACGCTGGTCATGTGTTTGATAAAGGTGACATGAAGTTAACAAAACATCACACTCAAATCTTCAACTGACTGTGTTATAAGAACTTCTATTCTGTTGAGATTACTAACCAGAGGAAAATGTTTCGAAATATCTGATGCAGTTGTAGTTGGCTACAAATTACCATGTGTTCATCGAAATCTTGATAATTTAGTCCCCATGTTTCCTTGTTGATCAGCATTCAAAAAGATACTTAGTAATTTTATATAGCAGTTTTAATTGTATTCCTTAAACAAGATACATATATGTATAGTACTTAAATTCATCTGTCAATAGGGCAAAGTCTGATCATAACCCCACCCATTTCTATTGCAGTTTAAATAATTAGTAAAAATCCTTGTCCTTGTTAAGCCCACTTCCTATTTTAAGTTTAAATATTAGCTCTTTGGTTTTATTAATAGTGAATATGGTAGTGCAGTGGAAGCTGTACTAATGGGACTTGTCTGTACACCATTGAGCAAAAGTTGTCTTTTGACATTTTCTAATACATTACTCATTATAATGAAAAGGATTAATTTTGCAGGTGGGCATTTATTTTTTTTAAAAACTAGATTTATTTATTCTTTCTATGATTTTTTTTATGTGTTTAGAACATATCTTCACAGGTATTTCTTTATCACTTGAGAATGGAAAGACTTACAAGTACTCATATGAAACAACTATATACTTCAATGAGTTGAATACCCCTAAGGTGAAGCAGACTCAGAAAGATGTAGGGTTCCGTTTGACTGCGGAACTAGAGGTCACTCCAATATTTCATGCCAGTGAAACACAGCTCCTGAGACTTCAGGTAACGTTAGCCCTGATCAATTTCAGTTTGGAAAATATGATAATGCTATTTGTAAATGAAATAGTTTTAATCGTTTAAAGCATATAAATGGAGGATATATAAGTTCAAATTTTAAATATGGGTGTGTAGCTGTACAAGTAGTGAAGACAATATGGCCAAGTGGAATTGAACACCAATGAAAACTGTTTCCATTTTTCCTTTTTCTTTGACATATAACCATGCATAACATAAAATACAGATTTAAATTAAACATTCATAAATGCTGGTTGTTTTGCATTGGCTATACATACACTATATGTACATATTTTGTTTAACATCTACATTTAAAGATCACAAAGGCATCAGTTTCCAGTGCATCCAGATCAGGACTGGAGAGGAATTTATTGGTACTTCTGAGGTACCCTGTCTACTTTGAGCTGAATGGGGGGACAGGTGTTGTAGGAACTATTTATGGAGCCGATTCTGAATCTATCTTCTGCTCTAATTTGAAAAAAGGAGTGATATCCTTGTTCCAGTTGAGAGATACTGATGGGGAGAGACAGGAGGTAAAGCCACATGCTTCTTTACAATTGTTTGAATTTCAAATTAATTGGAAAGTTTAGATAGACATGTTGACACCGATGGTCCTCTGCTTCAAAATTAATACATGTTTTTCTGCAGCACCTATTACAATATCTTCCAGTGTGATGTCAATTTAGCAACAAGCCTTGAAACAAGGAATACTGTAAACAGTAACATTTACCAGGAAAGAAATATGTTGAAATATATCAACAGATTTAGTAGCCACTTTCATAAAAAATGTTGCCATTGAATCATGTATCATATATGTGATTCAGTTATTTAAAACCTCATGAACAGACTTACAGCATATTTTGATAATTTCTTTTTTAGTTTTTCACTATTGCAAAAATTTCAAAAATCAATATTGGTCACAAAATAAGTTTTATTTGAACTTCAAAAGTGTCCTCATCATGCAGTTAACTCACTGACTTTATAATTTTGTTATTTTGTTTTATACAGACTGATGTATCTGGACAATGTGACACATCATATATGGTGTCTGGGAATTCTGTTACCAAGACCAAGCATAATTGTGAAAACCTGGAAATTGCTGGGCAGTTTAGTAATCCAAGCAAGGTCAGTTTACCTTTCTAGATCAACAAGATTAATACTAAATTGAAATACAAACATTATGTAAAGCGTGTATCAAAGTGAAGTTGATATACCTGTCTCTTAAAAATACTGAAGAAACTTTCGACCAATATAACAAACTGGTTTCTGAAAATAATTCATCAGATTCAAATGAAAAGGATGTCACTGAAGGTTCTTTAAAATGTAGTAGATAAAATATACTAAAATATTCTTCAGATTTTCCCCTTATTTTGCCATTTTTCAGATGTTTGGTGTGACTGTGACATCAACTTCAGTTGCGAAGTACCAACTTGGGGATGGTGTGATAGGCAGTGTTTCGGGTACAGAAAGACACATCGTAGTCCTCAATGCAAAGCCAGGTGTTTCTACTGTTGTTACCTCAACGTAAGTCTCTAGTACTTCTATATATCTAATAAAGCTATATCTGAATAATAATTGGTGAAAATATCTTATATCCATTGTAGTACTCCTTGTCAAGGTATATCGGTCATTTTAAAGGCAAAATGAAATCAGTCAATATAAATTAAATGGTCATATAAGGATTTGGAAAATAAATGTTCATATGAAAAGTATTTGTTTAAACTCTCTGATATTATATATTGACAAAGTATAAAACTGGAATTAGATACATCAATTTTTTATTATAAATAGATCGGCCTAAAGTACTAAATATGCTTTTAATATTTAGCAATAAAGTTTTGTAATCCTTTTTAATAATTTTTTATAGACAAAAACTGAACCTGTTAAGTAGTATTGGAGGATCAAAGACAGTTGCAGGCAACACAGTGGAGGAGGCAATAGAAAGCATCAATAAAGGTAACACAGAGTTTATAATAAATCTATACAGTGATGTTGTGAGTGGAAAATCATTTACGGAATTTCTTTATTGAATACTGCCTACAGCATATCACGAGAATTCTGGCTAGAAAGACAACGAAGATCAAATTACCATAGTGATAACAACTGTGTGTACAGACCTTTGGAAATAATCAAGCAACATTTACAGACAAAATGTCAGAAAAGTTATATTGGATATAGTTGTCTTAGTGCTTTATTAAAAAGTGAAACAGAAAATTAGCTTGTTTTGTAAAAGTCAAGCATAAAATTAATACAAAAAATGTATGAAAATGAGAAAGTACACAATACGGATGAAAGCAGAAAATAGAAATCGTGTTTTCCTTTCTTATGACAATAAGAGCAGAATGACACATTTAAGCTCAAATGTATTGATTCCTGAAGTTTGGTAGTTACAACAGTAAATAGGAGGTTTCCTGTTTTATATTTAAGTTTCTGGATACAAACACAGCCCAATGTTGATTGCGAGTGGCACAGAAATACAAAATTGTTTTGAAAATTGTGAAAAGGTAAGTACCAAGTACCCAGGTATGCCAACAACAATGTTCTTTATCAAATAGCAGGTCAGCATACATTTATTACCAATAATGAAGCTCCTAACATTCATATTTGTATAATTACCTTAGATATATCATTGGCAATATAGTTGTCTTGCTAGTTCTAGACATATCATAAGTCAGGATGATATGTTTGCATCATAACAGATGGATGGATTATCATATTGGGGGGAAAGATTTACTAATGTTAAAATAATTTACTATTACCCATTCTCACAAAAGGAGAAGTTTATTCTGTAAAACAATAATGGTAAAGATTATCTGACATTGACAAAATCCGGAATTTCTAATTAACCAGATGTTACATACATATATTGAGATAAAGTTTAGATGGTATTTATTTTTTTTTATTTATTTTCAGCCTATTGATGTCTTAAAGAAGGTTAAAGACTCGCTCTCCAGTGACAAACTTTCTACAGTTGAATCTGGCAGAGCCTTTCTAAAGTTACTACGGTCCTTTAGAGGGATAGGGAAACACACAATTGAGGAAGTGCTCACCAGTAGTGATAGTTACTACATTGTGTAAGAACATGTGTGCACTGTTTTAATTTTGGCAATAGAGCTGAATTATCTTCAGTAACATTAGAATAACATTTCAGTTATCTGTAATTCTATGTTTATGATTGCAGTTTCATTAACAAAAATTATGAACATGAATAGGAACTTTATCTGTTAGGACTCCAATGACATTTATGACATAGATACTTCTGATGGTGTTCTTTTCCACTACAGTCCTCAGCTGATAGATGTTGCTGTAGCAGCTCAGACACCCGACTCACACAAGGCCTTGATGGATTTGGTGTCCTTCACCACAGAAGGTGCCTCAGAGTATCAGGAAAGGTTACTGCTGGCCCTGGCCTACACTACACACCCAGACACTGCAGTCTTACAGTTTTTCTTGGTATGAAACAATAACTGAGTATCTGTCTCATAGTACATCAGTATGATTATGATTATTTTAGATTTCATTTTAATGTGGGTGGTGTACATATTAGGTAACTTCCTTCATATGAAATGGTCTCTCATAAGAAGAAAGCTGATGAAAGAAACACTAGAATCATTTTTATCAAAATCGGTGCAAATGAGATTGACATGCTGTGAAAAGCAGAGAAATGTGTGCTATTTATTATTTTGCTATGCACACATATTACTCTGATTTAATTAATCTACAACTTTGAAGGAGTGAATGTATGTCAGTTCAGTTTACATTTAATTTATAACATTAATGACCCCCTTAAAGACAGGAAAACCTCTGTCACTATATGTAAGTGAAATGTATCTTTATTTCATAGGACTTGATGGGCAAGCCCCTCCCCACTGAGAGACTACATGAGTCTGTGGTACTAGCCCTTGGTGCCCTGGTGCACACCTACTGCCAAGACACAGCCAGCTGTGGCACTCAGGTACCCAATATTGCTGGTACAAGTTTAAAAACATGTCAAAAATTGAATTACATATATTTCATAATTTCTGGAACATAAAGAAATTTGCTTTTCTCCACAACTCTTCAAAAGATGAATATTGTCAATCTGTTTCCTATTCAAGATGGAACAATGTAAGCAAGATGTGCATGGATATATGAATCAGATTAGGGCTGAGTAGACATGATAAAAATTTCTTACATTTCATTCACTAATTATGAATGGCTTCTAATATAACAGGTGGTAGCAGACTACGTAAAAGCTGTAAGAGAAGGTTTAAAGTCTTGTCAGAATGAAAACTGCAAGCTGAGATATGTCAGATCAATGGGCAATTCAGGGCTGTCTGATTTTGGATCTGATTTGGTAGAAGTTGCAGAGTCCTCCAGTAGTCCGATGATTTCTATCAGTGCTATACAGGCTCTAAGGAGATTTTCAACCGGTTCTCTTACTGCTAATGTAAGTACACAGGAACACATTTGCTAGAGCAGAGTTCCTGTATCAAGATATTTATTAAGAGAAGGTCAAGGCCAGGGTCACTGTTATTAGTTTGCAACCATCTTGCATCTATTGAGCAAAATCTTTTTATAAAGGATTTGATCAATCTTTTTTATAACAAAAGTAAAACATGAGACTGATTCAAACAAGATCATATTTCAGTAAGGCAAATGTTACTGTTATTATTGCTTGAACACAAAAGTGCCACCAATATTTTTGGGAGTTGGGATCACATTCATGACTTAGGAACATTTTCCAGATTTAATTTTCATCATAATGGAAAATTCTGTAATGTTTTCTTTTATAAACATTTTCTCTGAAAGGAAATTAAAAATTGTTACAATTAATAGCAAAAGGCAACGCTGAGTCGGATATTCCACCAAAACAATAGACAGTTTGACAGCAGTGTAAGGCTAGCAGCAGCTGATGTCCTTCTGAAAAACAATCCAACCACTGCTGAGGTCAGGAATATGATGTTGTCTGCTGTTGGCGATCAGAAGAATCATGAGACCTCTACGTACATCTTAAAGAGGCTATTGGATCTATCAGAAATGGACAGTTACATAAGGTACTCCTCTTCATACACTGTCACAGAATCTGTTTCTCCTACTATATCAGTCACAGATATTAAAAATGTCTCCTTTTTGTGCCCTGTGACACTTAATTAAAACAAACACATCAGTAGATTGAGTTTTTATTTCATCGAAATGCTGATTTAAGTATAACAGAATGAATACTGTATACTAAAATATATGTATCAATTTTTGGAAATTATGTTACCCTTTCAAAATCACAAGAATTTTAAATCATAAGATTTCCATGTGTCTCTTTGCTCTTGTGTGTATTTGTTTCTAATTTCTAACACATGAAATATGCCAAAAATGCAATTCACAAAAGTTTCAAACAGTACATTTTGAAGATTTTTGCAAAAATCAAACATCACAAAAATAACTTGATAAACAGTAGTGTAAGCGACCTGAATAGAAATGTAAATCAGAATTTCTAAACTCTTACAGGGATGTATTTCAAACGGAACTGTCTTGGAACTGGAATCAAACTGACCAGATGTATAGCACTTAGTTACAGAAATTGTTTGTGAATTTGTAATAGCAATGATTTCAGATAGATCAGATAGTACAATATCCTCTCCTGTTTCAGGCCAATGTTCAAAGAAATCCTCTCAGACCCAAGTATAAACAATTATTTTGTCTTTGGGCAAAGAGGAAAATCCAGCGCTTTTAGCAGTTATCTCATGGGTAAGTTTTATTTATCAAGCTGGTAAGAAATATGGTTAAGGAGCAGTTAGATTTATTTGTTTTATGATGAACATTTATAAAAGCCAAGGTGTTACACCCTGTAATCAGTGATCAATTCTGTTTTGTTTGTTGTTTTATCAAATCATTCTTCAGCTGCTTTCTGGTAAAAGTATCCTAAAAAGGATATCTATTTGACATTCTTTTTTCAGTATGTCAATTACTATTTGTATTTATTCCTGATTTATGTAGCCACAAGAGAGATGAACAGTACATATGGTTTATACCAGGAGAGCTCAGCAACTGGTGTGATGAAGAGAAGTGCCATGGTGGTGGACATGGCAAACAGATTCACCAAACAGCCTCTTTTGACAGTAAGTCTGGTCTCTTCTGTTGGGGAGTATGGTGTGTCCATAAATCACTGGTGTTTGTTGTTATTCTATCTCCATACAAAATATGATGAAAGTGAAACACAGTGATATTTTGTCTATCCATGTGACAACATGATTTTAGTATGATTTGGTATGAAAAATCATGCATGTTCCAACTATGATTAAAAAGTAATGGAAGTTCCACCTTTGTTTTTGGACTGAATGAGAACACCAGGTAGATTTTCTGTGATTTTGTTATCTATAGTTTGGATTGTATGCTGAGGGCCTTGCTGCTCTGATTGGTGAAGCTGAGGAGGGAGCAGAGGATGTAGAGGCTACAGCAGGCATGTCACTAACACTTATGGATGTACTGTTGCCATCTGTAGAATTCTTTAGAGGGTCTGGGGAACTCATGTCTGCAGTATGGAATGCACCTTCAGATCCTGTGTCAGCCTTACAAGTAAGCCCACTCTTCAGTTCCATTAAGACGAATGTTTATGGGTAATCTGTTACCCTACTTAATTGAAACATTGAAACTACAAATGATCTTCAAAGTTTCAGTTGGTTAGATAATTGTGCATTAACACACTATGTTTGTTGCACAAACAAAGACAGCTTTGGAGTGACAGTGCAGGCTTTGCAAATAATTACAAAACAGGCCACATACATGTAATGTCTTCATCCGGTTGTTGTTTCTTCCAAATGAAACTTCTAATTATCAATTCACAATTTATCTTTCCTTGATCAGGGTAATCTTTTACTGCAAGACCATTCCCAGAAGTTCCATCTCTCAAATGGTCTGGTGGTGGATCTGGAAGTCCTAGGTGTCTCCTCTATAGATATGTCTGGCAGTGTCAGTATCAGTCTGTGGTACAAAACTTCGAATTCATTGATTAAAAACAGGTGAAAATGCATTTTCAAATTCCTCATCACACAGAGGCATGACCTCTTACTACTAACTCCATCACCACACACAGGTCTGACATCCAACTACCAACCTCATCATCACAGACAGGTCTGACCTCTAACCCCATCATCACACACAGGTCTAACATCCAACCACCAACTCCATCCTCACTTTCAGTTGAAATTTCATTCATTGAAATATTTTATTCTTTTATGTAATTTGTTTCACAGTTAATTTGAATGACTGCTCTACTATAACAATCTCAGTTTGTCATTTTTATAGGTCTGTGAAGGGCTTTTCATATACAATTGTTTTTCATTACAACTACATGTACTACATTTATTCTGTACTATGCCCGAGTCGGAGTGGGTTGGAGTAAGATATTAACTTTGAATCAAATTAGGATGTGGCTTGTATTGCAAGACAGCAATTACTATTTGTTTGTGTTTTTACTGGCCTTCAATAGACGTAATTGGTACAGATTTTGAGTGTTTAAACATAAAAATTCTTCATGTTTAGTGGTGCTCTGGTCGTGGAAGGATCAATGAAGCTGGACTCCAAAGTTCTAAAAGCAGGAATTAAAATGTTCGCAGAGTCAGAGGCCAGCATTGACTTCAATACTGATGTGGACTTTGCTGAAATGCCATTTAAAATGTGTCTGCGTATGTCACGTCCCAACGTATCTTTTAGGTAAGATTTTTAGGCCATCTGACAAGAAGGGTCAAGATGACCTATTGCTATTGTGCCTCATCTGTCGTCATGCACCATCCATAATTCGTAAACTTTTCCTTGAAACACTACTCCTACTTAATGCCTGGGCAGCTCTTAACCAAATTTGGTCTGAAGCATCGTTGGGGTGGGGAATCATTTCTTAAATTCAGAAAGTTGATTTGAACACTAGGGACCTGGGAATGGGGTCCCGGAAGTGTAGTGAGAAAATTCTTTGCCTCAAAATGCTACCCTTTCTTAATGTTTAAATGGATTTCATTCAAACAAGTGGGCAATTACTTCTTGAATTCAGAAAGTTGATTTGACCCCAAGGGACTTAGGGGCAGGGCCCCCAATGAGGTAATTAGTCAATATTATGCTTCAAAATGCAACTCTTCCTTAATGTTTCAATGGATTTCAACCAAATTTGGTGTGAAACAATATTGAGGGTGGAGAATCATTTCTTAAATTCATAAAGTTGATTTGACCTTAGGGACTTAGGGACTTAGGGACAGGGCTCCAAAACACTTCTTTCTCTTAATGCTTTGGTAGATCTCAATCAAATTTGAACTGAAACATTATTGCAGTTGGGTTATCATTTCTTATGTTAGTTTGACTCCTAAGGTGGGGTGGGAGGCACAAAAGGGAAAGTTAATCAATAATTTTTTCTTCGGAACATTACTCTTCCCTAATGCTTGAAAGAATTTAGATAAAATTTGGTCTGAAACATCGTTGTGGGTGGGGAATCATTTCTCAAATCAGAAACCTGATTCTAACCTTAGGGACTCGGGGCAGGGGGCAGGCCCCAAAAGTGGAAGTTGGACAATATCTTTCTTCAAAATTCTACTCGTTCTTAATGCCTGGGTAGATTTCAACCAAATTAGGCATGAAACATTATGAGGGAGAGACAATGATATCAAGTGTCCTGACCGAATCTTCAACATAATTCATCTTGAACAAATAGTCTGAACTTCTCAGTTTTATTCACACCATTGAGAAAATATTGGCGTTCGATTTGCTAAGGAAAAGAAAGAGGTGATATGTTGTAATTTTTCAGCCTGATCAAAACTTCAACATGGTAACCACATAGCCATTTTGTAATATGATTGTGCAATTGTTTTGCATAATTTACTACCAAGAAATAATTTTTTCAGTATATGATTTCTTCATGATGTAATTTCTATGACTTGCTGTTCAACTAGGTCTTCATCTACACCCAAATATTATTTCACATTTACATTACATATATTTATCACATTCAAAAGATAAATTGTGACATTCTTTCTCCAAATTTATTATTATTATATTCATTCTTGGAATTTTAAGGAAATTATCATCAATTTCATTAACACAACTATCAATTATGACTAGTTCGTCAACTGAAACTTTAGTGAATGTTTTTTTTCTTATTGTTTCAGTCAAACTGTGGAAAAATATGAAAGATCTAGAAAAATAAAGAAACGGTACAGAGCAAAGCAGAAACGAACAGCTTCCTCTCCTGGTGTCTCCTATCTTATCAACCCAAAGAATAGCATCCAGTGTAGTCTGATCGCCTTGGATTAACGAGGTTAGTAAGTAGTGTTGTCCTCACAATGTACACAAGAGATATACCAAAGGCTGGTATTACTGTCTACACAATGTACACAATAGTTACACCAAATCCTGGTAGTACTGTCTACACAATAGTTACACCAAATCCTGGTAGTGCTGTCTTCACAATGTACACAATAGTTACACCAAATCCTGGTAGTACTGTCTACACAATGTACACAATAGATACACCAAATCCTGGTAGTACTGTCTACACAATGTACACAATAGTTACACCAAATCCTGGTAGTACTGTCTTCACAATGTACACAATAGTTACACCAAATCCTGGTAGTACTGTCTTCACAATGTACACAATAGTTACACCAAATCCTGGTAGTACTGTCTACACAATGTACACAATAGATACACCAAATCCTGGTAGTACTGTCTACACAATGTACACAATAGTTACACCAAATCCTGGTAGTACTGTCTTCACAATGTACACAATAGTTACACCAAATCCTGGTAGTACTGTCTTCACAATGTACACAATAGTTACACCAAATCCTGGTAGTACTGTCTACACAATGTACACAAGAGATATACCAAATCCTGGTAGTACTGTCTACACAATGTACACAATAGTTAAACCAAATCCTGGTAGTACTGTCTACACAATGTACACAAGAGATATACCAAATCCTGGTAGTACTGTCTACACAATGTACACAATAGTTACACCAAATCCTGGTAGTACTGTCTTCACAATGTACACAATAGTTACACCAAATCCTGGTAGTACTGTCTACACAATAGTTACACCAAATCCTGGTAGTACTGTCTACACAATAGTTACACCAAATCCTGGTAGTACTGTCTTCACAATGTACACAATAGTTACACCAAATCCTGGTAGTACTGTCTACACAATGTACACAATAGTTACACCAAATCCTGGTAGTACTGTCTACACAATGTACACAATAGTTACACCAAATCCTGGTAGTACTGTCTACACAATGTACACAATAGATACACCAAATCCTGGTAGTACTGTCTACACAATGTACACAATAGTTACACCAAATCCTGGTAGTGCTGTCTTCACAATGTACACAATAGTTACACCAAATCCTGGTAGTACTGTCTTCACAATGTACACAATAGTTACACCAAATCCTGGTAGTACTGTCTACACAATAGTTACACCAAATCCTGGTAGTACTGTCTTCACAATGTACACAATAGTTACACCAAATCCTGGTAGTACTGTCTTCACAATGTACACAATAGTTACACCAAATCCTGGTAGTACTGTCTTCACAATGTACACAATAGTTACACCAAATCCTGGTAGTGCTGTCTTCACAATGTACACAATAGTTACACCAAATCCTGGTAGTACTGTCCTCACAATGTACACAATAGTTACACCAAATCCTGGTAGTACTGTCTACACAATGTACACAATAGTTACACCAAATCCTGGTAGAACTGTCTTCATAATTTCATTGATAAATGATTATGGTCAGATTGGTGTTTTAGGTCATCTGACCGAATGGGTCTGATGACCTATTTTGATCACCTTTTGTCCGACGGCATCCGTTGTACGTCGTCCGTCGTAAACATTTTCAACTTCTCAAGTTCTACACGTCTCATTGAGCTGAAACTTACCTGAAATGATCTTGACATGATCCTGACCAAAGTTTGTTAATTTTGGGTTTGTCCGAAATCCAACATGGCCACCATCTTAGAAATACATTTTTGACTTCATCTCAAGTTCAAAATTTGAAATCTTGTATTTTATGTCAGATGACCGTTAAGGTCCATGGGCCTCTTGGTCCTCCCATTTTTCACCTCATTGTCTAGGATTATTGATGGTTATTTATTGGTAATGGATAATTGTATTCAAAATTTCTATATTTGTGACTCATTGGTGCATCAGCACTTATATTCCTCACTGGTTGTATTTTACAATAAAAGTTTATTATGGTTCTTAAACCTTGTTTTAGGGAAAAAAAATTACCTCAAGTGGTCTGGTCTCCAAAAAGGGCCATGATACTGATTTAGACCTCCATCTTGATAATACACTGCCAATGTTTGGTATAAAGAGAGACTATGGGATTACTCTACATGATAAACAAACAGATTGTGTGTATAGGATTAACCCAAAGTTCTTTCTCCGTGTGACATAGGTAATGACATCTAAACAATGGAAATATTTACCTTTAACAGGCTTTACAATAGAGATAAAAAATGTACCACCTTTTAACCATATGTATTTGCTGGGCATCAAGAAAATACTAACATGACACGATTCATGGTGCTCACAGCTCTAAGGTAATTTGGTTTGTTATCATAAAATTGGTTCTGTTTAAAAACTCAACTTTAGATGATAACCCTGCCTAATTACAATAAAAAGAACATTTATCCATGCAGCTTCAATTGACATTCACATCTACACTCACAGATGGAGGCTTGGCTCTGGTTAAAAATGCAGAAAGTTTGAGGTCACTGTCATAAAACTACCCTACCTTTTCATGAAAAATTACACTTAGCCTTCGGTCTGATTCAAACTCTGGGAACTTAGTCCTGGATATGTTCAATCTGCCTACCTTTTTACAATGTAACTTCTAGTACATACATACTTGCTGAGCTTGAATAAACAAACTTTTGGGATTGGTCCTTTCTTATACCTAACCACTTTGAAAACCCTTATTCCAGTGTTTTGACAACAAATATATGAGTTACCTAACCTGTCATGACATTTCTGCTGATGGAAAAAAAACAACCCTGTATGTATTTTGGCTGTTTGATTTATAGATATGTTACAGTTTGTACCAAATCTTTCTTTGCATTATCTTCATAATGACACAGTGAGTCAGACAATCAGTTTATCAGGATTAAAATATAAAGCCACATAAAAGTAGAGGGAGGAATACAAATTTAGTTTCACATGATCAATACTGTGTATGTCCACAGTTTGCATTGATGCATGCCATACATTTACCATGCATGGAACTGATCAGTAATGCAGAAATGTGTGAGGAATGTTTCACCCATGCCTGAAAATATACTGTGTAATGGATCCGACTCAAGGAAGGTTTGGCTTCTGACACGGACATTGCTCCACTTCATCCCAAACATGCTCTATTGGAGACAAATCTGGTGACATCACAAGTCAAGGAAACATACTGAAGTTTGTATGCTGTAGATATGCCCCAACAACATGTGCAATGTGAAGTTGTGCATTGTCCCGCTGCAAAATAATGTTATACTAACTGGCTATTATGGATAAATGGAAGATTGTAATGACAGAAGATTTTCTCATAGTATCACACATGTGTTAAGTTACCTTTCAAAGGCGTCCTTCTATGTGTTTTAATACAACCCCAAATGATACTGCTCCCACAGTCAAACTGACAATGCTAAATTGCACAAACATGACTGTAAGGTTATCAAGTTGAAATCTGGACTTGCCTTTGAATGGCATATCAGGCTAGTCCATGTTGGTGATTGCAAGTTTCTCCTGCACCATGCAAAACATTCAAATCTTCAACATTGAAGCAAAACTGGACAGATAGATGGACCTGGTGTTGGGAATGTTGGCCTCTCATGATCTGTCTTATACTGTTCTGGAACTGATCTGTCTATGTCTTGGAATGCTTCTAATAGTCATTGATGATGACCACAGCTGATTATGCAAATGCAATATCTTTATATACATATATTGTTGATGTGACATTACACACAGACATCCTGAGTGGTCCACTAGTGTTCGTCTGCTTTAAGTATATCCACAAAGCATTCATCATAACGTGCACCCCAAACTGTCTTGACACATTATGCTGAGACAGTCTAGCCTCTTGCATGCCAATAGCACACAGCCATTCATTTTCATCCATAAGAAGCATGCTCCTGATGAATTTACCACAGAGGAAAAAAATGATTGCCAGATAATCTGATAAAGTGCATAGAATACTATCAATAAACGCAAGAACTTGTTACTGTTCTCTTAATGTGCGATATCGAGGTACGAAACTCAAAGCAAAGTTCACTGTTTTCAAGAATCAAACAAGTGTTTAATACTTAGCAAGAGGCCTGTGAGTCTTAATGTTCATCTGACTATAAATACCTATATATGATACAACAGTAATAGCAGGAGCAGTTATGAACTTATTAAAGCAGTTCAGAATATTTTAGCATTAAATGCAAAAAACACTCCTCTTTTCAGCTCTGCTACATTCCACATGATTTCAGCTCCAGTACAGCTTAAAATGTGATATTCAAGATGGGGTTATACTAGGGTTCAGACTATCCCCAAAAATTACAACATTGGTCAGGACCATCTCATATCCATTTTAGGCAAGTTGCAGCATTTTTGGAACCTGAGAAGAGAATTGAAATACATGTAGGTGTCTGGGGAACCTAATTGTGCAATCATGTTAAAAAATGATCACCATGGCTACAATATTGAACTTTCAACGGGACTGAAATATGAAAATACTTTGTTGCCTTCCCCTCCATAACATCTTCATCATTTTTTAGTTCAATGGCACCAGAAGCATAAAACGTGTGTTTCAAGATGGTGGCTTTACTGGATTTCTGCTTGACCCAGAAAATAACCAAATTTTGTTAAGATCATTACATGCAAATTTCAACTCAAACCAACAGGTGGAAATAAGGTTTGAAAAGTAAAATGTTTGCAGTTGGAAGGTGGAGCATGATGACACATGAAACCGAAAATGGCTATGACCTAAAAATATTATTTTTGAAATTATATATCATATATATTATTTTGAAAATATGAAAAGTAATCTCATTAATTTTTTCCAAAATTTGTAAGTATAAAAACACAGTTTCTTTATTCCATTACTATACTATTGCCTTGTTTTATATGGGTTTATATGACTAGGATAGGCCCTTTTTGTCTGCCTTGCCAATGTTAACATAAGCCAAGGATCTTGATATTAAATCATTAGATTTTTTGATGGGAGCCAGGGTTATTAAAAAATCAGTTGATGTTTTTACCAGATGAGGAGAGGAATGTACACACACACTACTTTTTATTGCCCCTGGGACTTACATTCATGGAGCATATCATGGTCTGGATTGACATTTAATGTCAATCTATAAGCAGCATATTTGCATGTAGTTGGCCCTTATAAGTGTAAGAGAGTAGCGTTCATTGACAGATGTATTGTAAATTAGATTAAAGAGTTTGAGAAAGCAGGACACTAGATATAACAATTAATGATGATAATTGAATGTAAAAAAATCATTAACCTAGAGTCCATACATATGTCAATTAAATGGTTTATAAATGTACAGGTCCATGATGTTCAAAATTAGAGTAATGTTATGCAATATAATGTTTGCCTTGCTATATTTGTGAATACTGCTTGAACTGTTCTTTGCTAACTAACATTACTGATATTCAATTGGGTGTATATAGAAAGGAGTTGTTGTCAGAGTTATCTTTCTTATTGGGTGGGTTGTATTAGATGGAGCTGATACATATTCATTGAGAAGGGGAGGAGAATGCAATAATGATTGACATAGAAGGTCTGTTAAGTGTAAGATTACTGGATATCAAGTTTCCTCATGTAATTAGTCAGTTAGAGAGTACACTGGAGGTTCATTGATGCTGACACACTGGTTTATACTTGGCAGCTGCACAGAGCATGTCCTTGTAGTCTAAGGCTATGGCTCTAGGTGGAGGTCAGCCTGGAATGGTATCATGCCCTCCTCTTTTAGGCTGAAGGGGTCAGACTGGTTTATGTGTTGTCCTCAAGTGTAAGATGTTGGGGTAATTTTCCAACTTTTCTACATGTCACCTTCCAATATTAGGCTGCAGTAGTCAGACTGTTCTACATGTCACCATCCAATATTAACTATTATTAACTATTACGATGTAGCTATAGGGGTAGGACTGCTCTACCCGGCATCTGCCACTATTAGGCTCTAGGGATCAGACAATTCTGCATGTCACCCTTCATTATTTAGCTGCAGGGGTCAGACTGTTCTATATACCACCCTCCACTATTAGGCTGCAGGGGGCAGAGTTTTCTACTTGTCACCTGCCATTATTTGACTGTAGGGGTCTGTCTGTTCTACATATCACCCTCCACTATTTGACTGTAGGGGTCAGTCTGTTCTACATATCACCCTCCACTATTTGACTATAGGGGTCAGTCTGTTCTACATATCACCCTCCACTATTTGACAGTAGGGGTCAGTTTGTTCTACATATCACCCTCCACTATTTGACAGTAGGGGTCAGTTTGTTCTACATATCACCCTCCAATATTTGACTGTAGGGGTCAGTCTGTTCTACATCTCACCCTCCACTATTTGACAGTAGGGGTCAGTTTGATCTACATATCACCCTCCACTATTTGACTGTAGGGGTCAGTCTGTTCTACATATCACCCTCCACTATTTGACTGTAGGGGTCAGTCTGTTCTACACATCACCCTCCATTATCAGATGTAGGGCTAATTTTCCTTCATGTCACCCTGCACTTTCGCATAATATCATGAAGCTTTCAAGAGTTTCGAGATACCCTAGAGAGGTCGACCTAGAACATTCCTTTTAGATTAATCTGCTCTGGTCAACATCTTGCCTTAGGCTGCCTTTGAATGGTTATACAGGTCAACATAGAATATTCTTCTCTAGCTGTCCTGTTTTTCAGGCTGTATATCTTACATAGTGGCAGAGGCACACTCATCAGTCTTAAAGGTTAGAAAACATAAATATATGGTGTCATCTATCTTTCATTCAGTATTCTCTTGAAACATAACAGTTAATGTGGAGGGAATGTAAAGTTTTGCCTACTTAGTCACTCCACCAAGTTCCCAACACCCATAGAATCCTATTGATCAAGGTATCTCATGGCTACTTTCTTCAATGTTGCCATGCCAGCACTGTTTGTTTATCAACTACAGGATGGTGATGTGTCATACCAATAGTAGCCAAGTCCTTGTTTCCTGTGAGAAGCTATTAGGTATATAATAGATATTTTAGTACTTGGGATTGTGTTACATAACACTTGGACTGCATATGGCACTTATTTAAGATAAATCTTAAGTTTCTTTGGTAAAACCAAACTGTATGTTGCATAGACCTATTATGCCAAGTCTTTATTTAGATATGCACAAAGTGCTGAGGGAAAAGCTTTGAAGGCTAAGGGAGGGGGTATTATATGTAAGGTTTGAAGGGGGTGTCCCACAGCTGACTAGCTCTGTCAGCCATGTGGGGGTCTTATCTGGACTTTACTGCTTTAAGGTTATGTTGCCATGGCAACTGGTATTCACATCCATTTTCAGATCTATATGTTGGTCCTTACTTCTCCATCAATTTCCATCATCTAATGCACAACATTCTGTGATAAATTTTTCTTAATTCAGAGAATGAGATCTAGCATGTGCCAGTAGATGACACATTCCACCTCAATAGTTAAATATGGAATACACAAGCTCATTGTCAAGTGAACTGTTGTCCTTGATAGCTCGTATCATTACTCATGGAACTATGGAAAAAAAACCTGTCATTTTCGAATTTGAGTAACAAGAATTTCTATATAATAGTAATGTATTGATCAAGTTCAACAAACATGTAGTTGACTCTTAGGTGAGTTTCGTTATTTACAAAGTTTGGAGAGATAGTTATCACGATTTTACTTATGATATCATAATAATATGACAATGAGCATGCGGCATGTAAGAACAGAGGGGCTTTGTGCCGGTCAATAGGAGTAGATCAGGTCATATCACTTTAAATTCATTAACAAGATCAGAGTGTATAGAATTACAAAAGCAAAGAATTCCAACATGAATTAAAGTGATGAGATCTTTCATACATTCTTATTTTGGGGTATAAAGGTGAATAAGCAGACATTTAAGACCTCAACAAGGATTTTGAGTTTTGTTTTCAATGGAAAAAAAATAACCTTATTATGATGTTAAGACATTCATTTTATTTTAGTAACAAACAAGAAACAATATGAAACTGCTAAGGAATAGCCCACATACCAGTGTGTGGAATCTAGTACCAATGTAGTCCAGAGCTATACCATAGCTGTTCTATATAAACTTAGATAATTAATTTTACCAAAAAATAAAACAATAGGAATTCTCAGTTCAACTAAGTTATATCATTGTGTTCATGTGTGGTATACAGTCATTGCACAGTCACTGCAAATGAGATCAGAGTGATGATGTCAAACAGTTTAAAGATTTGTACATGTAGAAGATTAACTAATATTTAAGCATATTAAGCTTTATCTGTCCAGTTGTACCAACTAACTATGTCCTGAATTTTTATGTAGGAAGTGAGGAGGGCATAGTCATATACAGATTAGAACATTTTGAATCCAATAAACTTAGCGTGTTCTCTAGAAGGTATATTGCGTTGGCAACAATAACAAAGTGTGGGACATTGTCAGTTTGTAATTATTTCAGGTTGTAATAAGACCTTTTCGACAAGTGCATGTCAAAATACACATGAAAATATGATCCAACTGGTATGTTTCTGTAAACAAAGGATTGGAAACACCAAGCAATAATTTACAATTCTATTTTTCTGACATACTGTGTATGTGTTGGCAATTCTACAGTGTTAATCAGGTGATAAATACATGTTTGGGCACTGATACCTTTCCTGAAGGAGGAGGTTCTTTCTGTTACTGTGATGGCTGATTTACGAGCATGCAGGGTAGAAAAACAACTTATGGAATGTAGCATCAAAAGAGTTCACCAAAGTCTTGAGACCTTCACCGATTAAATTTCTGTACAAAAAATAATCAACACTAAATTAACCAAAATCAGCTCCACCACTGATTAAAATTCTCTGTAGACATAATTCAAACTAGGATATTACTGTAAGTAGCAGATTGATTGTAGTGAGTTTGTCAAATAAACTGTTTATAGGCTAGACAGTTGGTGCCCTACTGATTTAATGATCTATGACATCAGTTATATGTTTCCTGTGGTTTCAGTCCTTCCTACTAACATCTCCTGGGGACATTTACCCCTCCGGAGTATAGGTTGGGGTCATTCCTCCCACTGACCCCATGGGGCCAGTACCTTCCTTCTTCAGGGCTATGATCAGTCCTCACTGCTGCCCCAATGGGGTCAAGTCTCTAACATACTTCAGGGCCCCAGGGTCAACCTCCCTAGCCATGTGTTAGTCATTACATAGATTTTCTCCGATAACAAGAATGATACATATGGTAATGCGACCTCTGTTCCCCATTATAGATAGTTTGTTTATGGAACACAACTATAATGATGGAATTTCTCAATTTCTACATACTTGGTGATTTCTTTTATCAAGGGCAGTTGGTGAAAGCATTAATGAGCCTATATTAGTCCTTTAAGTGTTGACACAAAGATACAATATCAATACATGTTAATATTCATATCTGCTTCTTTGACCTTAGCCTAGTTTTCATATACCATGTCTCATTTACAGGTTACTTGCATCAGTGCAACCTGACCAATATATCTATATATAAAATTTTGTATGTTTTAGGGTGATGGTGGAAACCAGACAGCTGTAAGCAATGTTCCTGATAATACTTCACACTTTCCAAAGCCTACATCTCCAAGTAAACAGCATCAGATCAAATGTCTCTTGATGACGGCAATACAAAGCTAGACGACATATCACATTGCCAGAATCTAGAACAAGATCAAATTCCATTTTTTTTAATAAAAGTATATTTTTCTTATTTTCCTTCTTTTCTTTTTATCACATAGGCAACTGATGTACAGGCATTCCTAAGAAATAGCACTAATTGAGTAGTGCAGTACCAGTGCAATAAAAGCCACTGGTGGAGTAGTACCGATATATAATTGCATATGTAGGGTTACATGCCATTTTTTTTCTGTACCTGTACCAAGTACTCTACATGTTTTATGATAAGCTGAAATCTTTCTGAAGTCTCTTTTCGTATACAGGTAATAATAACGACACAAAAAATTTCACAAAAAAGTAATTTTAATGAAGAGCTGGTAAATTACAAATGAAGATACTGAATATATAAAACAAACAAAAAATAGAGATAAATGCACACTAATTTGTTCTTGCATACAACTTTTCATACATCTGCATGCTAAATAAAATGGGAAAACTCACAACGCTCAAACGTTTAATACTAGCACCGTAGTATGGAATACTGTAGTATTGCACGCAAATCAAACTGCCAAACTGGGGTAAAAAATTATGTACAACTGATTTTGGCACATATGGAACAACTTACACCAGTCTGCTAGGACCAAGATGTACACATATATATATATTGTTAAGGCACACTGGTTTATTATGTCATATATAGGTCTACTAAGGCTTATACTGTGTACATCACACATTGTGTAATGTCATTTAGGACCACAAAAGCTTACATCATGTACACAACAAAAACTTGTATATATGACAAAATTATGTTGTTTACACAATTTTGATCTTTCATGCTGTATTTTACCAATTATAACACACAGATTCATTTCATAAAGGAAAAAGATTGGTAGAATAAACTATACCACACAAAAGCTTATGCATGTTTTGTGTATATGAAACCAAGAAATATAACATCCTACGAACTTTGAAAACTGATCAGAATAATAATTGAAACTCCAATTATTACTAATCATAAATTATAGATTTAAAGTAAAATACAGTATATAAGGCAACATTCCATAGAGGATCTATAAACTAGCTAAATATTTACCTACACTAGCCACATAAAACTATAGAAAATTACTTGTATTTTAATTATGATGTGTGAAAATAAGGGTTTCTTAGTGTAACCTGCTAATATCGATTACAGGCACTGGAACAGAAATAAACAATAAATCTTCCTTCATATCGAGAAATGAGCATTATGAATTATTTGGTCTTTTCATTTGTAAACAAATATATACAAATCATTCTTGAAAACAATATATAGAAATTAAACTGTATGTTTACCTCTTGATATCCTATCAGCATATTGCCATGAAGCGATATTCTAAACATAACAAGATGATATGGACTAATTACCTGAAACAATTGACATCATCATCACCAACATGCAACTAATTTTCTATTAAACCGATAGTAATACCCACATAGCTTAATTAAACATTGATAGTATAATTACTGTGACACAAAAACACATAAACATTGGTACATAAGAGTAATTACACTGACATTGTCAATCACACTTTTTATAATGTAATTACAGTGGCATTGTCAATCACACTTTTTATAATGTAATTACAGTGGCATGGTTCATATATTGTCATTACACTCATTATGATGTAATTACAATAACTTAGTTGATATAATGAAATAATGTCAATCAAATGGTAACTGCAGCGACAATGTAATTCAACTGTTACATTGTAATTAGTTTGGCACTACCAGTAATTTATTAACGATGCAATGTCATCAAATTGGCCACTGATACCAAGGGTAATTGTACAGACAACAATACAGCACAATGTGACGATACAGTGTAATTATTTGGACTATAACATTGTAATTGGACAGTGACACTTTGTTCCTTGAACTGACAATGATAAAGTGTACCTCGTGCTGATAATGATACTGTGTAATCAAACAATAATAGAGTGTAATTAAATAATGATACAGTGTAATTAGACTGTGATACAGTGTAATTAGATGACAACACAGTGTAACCAGACAAATAACACAGAGTAATTAGACTAATATCATATTTTGGCCATTGACACCAAGGGTAATTGTTCTTACAAAGATACAGCACAATGAGACAATAATACAGTGTAATTAGACAATAATACAATGTAATTAGACTTGTGTTGGTTGTAAGTGGATGCCAACAGCAAAGGTTATTGTACTGGCAAAGATACAGTGTAATTAAATAATACAGTGTAACTATAATTTGACATTGATACCAAGGATAATTGTACTGGCAATGATACAGTGTAATTTGACAACAATACAGTATAATAAGACAATGATATAGTGTAATTAGACAATGATACAGTGTAATTAGACAATAATACAGTGTAATCAAGACAATAATACAATGTAATTAAACCACAATGAAATACACAGTAGAATTGAAAAGGACAATGTTTCTGAATATTAAACTCACTAACTGGAAATGGAATATTAATTTTTATTGTGTATCGACAATTTTAAATGAAAAAAAAAGCTTAAAGTGATAGAAAGTGATTAACACCAATATGAATACGATTACAGCATCTGTTTCAAATGATTTGTATTCAAAATTTTCTAATAGTGTGATTAAACTTATTGAAATAATTGAAGACCTGAACTGAATGTTCACACCATAGTCTGATCCTGTAGTGCAATGTACTATCTGTATATAACACACATTTATAGTCATCAACTCTGTCCTTTTCAGATATGTTTACACAGCTTCTATCAAAATAAATGTTGATATAACTATAAATAACTAAAGCAAATTTATAAACTTATAAATAAAGAAAAAAATCTATCAACAACAGAAAACACAATATCTACATGCTGAAAGCGAAGTATACACCAATATACGACTTAAAGTACAAATATACTTACACCGCAAACACAAATCAAGATAATTTTATCATGCAAATATTATTTTTGACAAGAATTTCACACTTATTTCACCACAACCTCACTCAATTAAATATAATAAAATCTATTCATTATGATAATGATTATTGTATTAACTTATATTCGTATATACACAATTTCCCCTCTTCTAATGCCACCCCTTCAAAATTATCTTTTTAATTTTTTTGCACAAAGGAAAGTCAAGAGGATAGTAACTCATAATTATTAAACCAATTATGAATAAATGAAATTCTACGAGATTTAGAAACAAAGTAAAAAGTACATTCAACCACAAACATCAAATCCCAAGAGATGTATCTATGTTTGCTGGGCGAGGATTGGAACACCACAGACAGGTAGCATTGCTTCCCATATCTATGTCCTTTATAAGTGAAGTCTGAGAGATTTCATCCATTATGAGTGTTTTTTCAGCTAAATTACTCTTGGAACAACCTTTGATGGTATACCCGCACCAGCAAGAACATCAGTCACATATTGAGCTAACCATATAGGAATTTCTTCTGTTACTATAAACAAACATGGAAATATTTTCTTGGTGATTCAATACAGGTGTAGCACTGATTTTGAACGATGCAAAGATGATTTTCCATACAGAAGCTGTCCATAAACTTCAACCAAAAACATTGGGTTATCTTATTCTAACGAGTTAATCTTTATGATATGAACTGTCAAAGTTCTATAAAAAAATGTCTTTATAAATGCATTCACAAACCAATCAGACCTGTAAATGAGCGGAGCTATCCCAACTAGTTGGGCACAAATTCTACGAAGCCAATTTATCCTCAGGAAGTCTTCTTTAAGTTACCATGGCAATAATGGGAGGACCGATGTTTTGGAAAATAGTATGTCAGCCAATTTTGCCATTACATGTATAATTTTTCAGCTTAATTGGACCATACCTCAATATTGACCTATTAAAAGCTTCTATTATGTCTGTTCCCAAGTTAAGGAGAAGCCTTGACAAATCCCTCTAATTGTGTCCTTTTGGTTACCATGGCAAGAAAATGAAACCTGATGTTTTGGGAAGTAGTACCATTGTTATTACCGTTCTTCCAAACCCTTTTATATCAATTTTCAGGGTAATCAAAAAATACCTACATTTCAATTTCAAGGAAGCTTCCATTATGTTTCTACAGTAATGATTCTGGAAACACTTGTTGTGTCCAATTATAAACTTTGACAAGTTACACCAATTGACCAAGTTTCATAAAATAAATATCTAAGGACTGATGAGCTATGGACCATTACAAAAGAACCTGTGTATAGTGACCTGGTCACCAAGACAACCAAAAGATCTGATGAAAAAAAAAAAATAAAAAAACTTCATGCACATCCACACATTGTCTATAACATTCCTGTGTAGTTTCAATGAGATCAGTCCACAAGTTTAAGAGGAGTTTTGTGGAAAACAGACATCCAGACGTGCGATTCAAGTATACCACCAACTTCGTTGTGGGGGTATAACCAAAATAATAATGTCATAAGATATCAACTTTTTGTGTAAAATTCCAAAACTTGTGTACATATTGTGTATTATGTAACTACTGAAGAGGCTCCCAAAACTTGACAACACTGTTTTAACATTCCATTTTTGTTTATCAATTTCAAAATAAACAGGAATGCTACAGAAGCTGTATAAGATATGTGAAATCTGTGTGTCCATTAATAACTTTTTGATGTAATCTTGTGTTGCAGATTACTAGTACCACTCAACCAAGTTAAAATATTACCAATGCTACACCTGTAATCAATCGGTAGGAATAGAATAGATAATTATCATAATTAATCCTAGTATAATCACTTTTTATCTTCCCATCATATACAAATAAATATCAATATAAAATCTCAAAAATCTTAGTGTAAATAATAATAAAAAAGTCTTATAAATCAATAACCTTGAATTAGATTCTCTTGTGAAGCAGAAATTTACATATCAACTTTACCATATCTTGGTGAAAGTTTTCATTGTTCACAGTACAAATTGGAATAGCAGCCATACTAAGAATATGCATATTACAACAAACCTAGTACAAGGGCATAGTGTTCAAGGCCTGACGAGTAAAGACATTTTCCCACTTACTCACATCTGGAATATTATAAAACCTGACAAGGACTAAATCTCGGTCCTTTCCACTATTCTATCTATCCTCCTGTAGATTCTAACACAGTCAACAATACAGTATGTATGTAGAGACCTACAGCTGAATGGAGGAGATAAAAATATTCAGCAGTAGAGGGGGAGACCTATACCTCCAGCAGATATTGGACAGTCATAGGGGATATGGGTGTTATAAATCAGTACTGACACTGGACACTAGGAGGGGTTGGAATATACATCAGTACAGTTATTGGACAGGAGAGGATGAACCTATCCACTGGAACAGTGGAAAGTAGGTACAGGCATACTATTGGTCTGATGACTAGAACCAACCATACTATTGGCTGGTGACTAGAACCAGCCATACTATTGGCTGGTGACTAGAACCAGCCATACAGTTGGCTTGTGACTAGAACCAGCCATACCGTTTGCTTGTGACTAGAACCAGCCATACAGTTGGCTTGTGACTAGAACCAGCCATACTATTGGCTGGTGACTAGAACCAGCCATACAGTTGGCTTGTGATGAGAACCAGCCATATAGTTGGCTTGTGACTAGAACCAGCCATACCGTTGGCTTGTGACTAGAACCAGCCATACCGTTGGCTTGTGACTAGAACCAGCCATACAGTTGGCTTGTGACTAGAACCAGCCATACAGTTGGCTTGTGACGAGAACCAGCCATATAGTTGGCTTGTGACTAGAACCAGCCATACAGTTGGCTTGTGACTAGAACCAGCCATACAGTTGGCTTGTGACTGGGATCTACAATAATGAGGGTCTGATGACTAGAATCAGTAATACTGTTGAACTGGCCACTAGGACACACCATACTTTTGGCCTTGTGACTAGGGGCAGTAAAACTGCATCAGGTGACCTGGAATTAACCGTAAATTTGGAGTTATAATTAGGACCAGTCATACTGTAGGTCTTGTGACTAGGTGTGGCCATACTGTTAGCCTGACGACTAGGGACTAACCATAAGATTAGTCATATTGTTTGCCTGGTAACCAGGACAAGCCATACCTTTTGCCTGGTTACTAGATAGTCTGGTGACTAGGACAAGCCATACTGTTGGCCTGGTCATGAGGACTGGTCATACTACTGACTTAGTGACTAAAGCTAGTAAAACTATCCACCATATAAACAGATAACATTATTGCTTGGGATACTGGAACATTCCATTCTGGAGCCCAACAATTGTTACCCAAGAAATAATGGCTTTATAAGAAGAACAGAAATGAAAAAGAAAAAAATCTATAACCAACTTTTGTTTTTTATGACAAAGTGAAAGCATTTGATTCTAGTCCAAAATGGAATCTGAAAATGCTCTGACTAGCCTCTTGTCTAACTAATTCTTTACTACATTAGGGAATACTGCTAACTTTCCAACAAGTGTCTGCCTTCCTTGTGGTGTGGAAGTGTTGGTCTCTCTATAAAACATTATGTTATCTTCACCACTACAAAGGTAAGTTTGTTAAAGTAAATCTGGGCTTTCAAACACTTCATGTCATGAAGCATTCCCTCTTCAATCACGAGCATTAGGTTCCTTGACACCATAATAAATCGAAAGAAAACTTGCAAGAAACCATGGTCAGATATCTTAAGGACCTCACCTCTCACTTTTTCAATGATTAAATTCATTGATGATGAAGTCAGAACAAAACTCCTATTGGTAAAGTCCAAACTCAACATGAACAACATAGTTGGTACCAAAACCCCTTCTGTATTCTTGTATTCTTGATTTTTCCTTAACTGGCCAACTTTCCATGCCATTGAAATTTTGTCTTTATTTGGATCTACACATCCCTTGTATTAAGTACCTACATACACCACATTTTAATAAGCACTAGATTTGTAATTTAATGGCACTTCATCAAAAATCTAATTCACCATGCCACATATCTTGTATCTGATTTTAATATGTACTTTGTACATATAAAATATAGAATAAACATTATTATTGTGAGTATTTTCATATTCCTATATTGCTTTCAGCAATGAAATTTAAAGAAAACATTTGATGTCTTCCTCTCCATAACTTTTGGTGTATGTCCTTGACCATTGTTCTTGCCGTCTGTCCTTGACCTAGTTCATCCTCCTACAGTAATATCCAAGTACCTTACATTTTTCACAGAGGTGCTGTGGGTGCACCTTGCTCTGATCCGACACATCTAAGCCATCCGGTTTTTCAAGAGGCCTCTGAGAAGTGATAAAAACATGCTTGAGCTGATGGTCGTCGTTTAAAATATATTCTCTGAATTAGATTGATATCTGTATGTGTTTTGTGTAAGCAAAACAGTATGAAGTTTAGTACGGGAATCAATGACAGTATTCCAGTCTGATGTACAAGAACCAACTTGTTTGCAAGAGCATCTTAATTGAAGGATATACCTGTTTGCAAGTAAATGTGCAAGGCACCAGAAGATTTACCTGTTTGTAGGTATAAGTGTGGAGACATCAGAAGATTTAGCTGTTTGTGAGTATAAGTGTAGGGACATCAGAAGATTTAGCTGTTAGTGAGTATAAGTGTGGAGACATCAGAAGATTTAGCTGTTTGTGAGTATAAGTGTGGAGACATCAGAAGATTTAGCTGTTTGTGAGTATAAGTGTGGAGACATCAGAAGATTTACCTGTTTGTGAGTATAAGTGTGGAGACATCAGAAGATTTACCTGTTTGTGAGTATAAGTGTGGAGACATCAGAAGATTTAGCTGTTTGTGAGTATAAGTGTGGAGACATCAGAAGATTTAGCTGTTTGTGAGTATAAGTGTAGGGACATCAGATGATTTACCTGTTTGTAGGTATAAGTGTGGAGACATCAGATGATTTACCTGAGGACATGATTTACCTGTTTGTACCTGTTTGTAGGTATAAGTGTGGAGACATCAGATGATTTACCTGTTTGTGAGTATAAGTGTGGAGACATCAGATGATTTACCTGTTTGTGAGTATAAGTGTAGGGACATCAGAAGATTTACCTGTTTGTGAGTATAAGTGTGGAGACATCAGAAGATTTACCTGTTTGTGAGTATAAGTGTGGAGACATCAGAAGATTTAGCTGTTTGTGAGTATAAGTGTAGGGACATCAGAAGATTTACCTGTTTGTGAGTATAAGTGTGGAGACATCAGAAGATTTACCTGTTTGTGAGTATAATTGTAGGGACATCAGATGATTTACCTGTTTGTGAGTATAATTGTAGGGACATCAGAAGATTTAGCTGTTTGTGAGTATAAGTGTGGAGACATCAGAAGATTTAGCTGTTTGTGAGTATAAGCTGTTTGTGTAAGGTGGAACATCAGAAGATTTAGCTGTTTGTGAGTATAAGTGTGGAGACATCAGAAGATTTAGCTGTTTGTGAGTATAAGTGTGGAGACATCAGAAGATTTACCTGTTTGTGAGTATAAGTGTAGGAACATCAGAAGATTTAGCTGTTTGTGAGTATAAGTGTGGAGACATCAGAAGATTTAGCTGTTTGTGAGTATAAGTGTGGAGACATCAGAAGATTTAGCTGTTTGTGAGTATAAGTGTGGAGACATCAGAAGATTTAGCTGTTTGTGAGTAAATGTGGTTGGTGAGTATACTTGTTAGGACATTAGATGATTTACCTGTTTGTGAGTATAAGTGTAGGGACATCAGAAGATTTAGCTGTTTGTGAGTATAAGTGTGGAGACATCAGAAGATTTACCTGTTTGTGAGTATAAGTGTAGGGACATCAGAAAATTTACCTGTTTGTGAGTATAAGTGTGGAGACATCAGAAGATTTACCTGTTTGTGAGTATAAGTGTAGGAACATCAGAAGATTTAGCTGTTTGTGAGTATAAGTGTAGGGACATCAGAAGATTTAGCTGTTTGTGAGTATAATCAGAAGATTTACCTGTTTGTGAGTATAAGTGTGGACATCAGAAGATTTACCTGTTTGTGAGTATAAGTGTAGGAACATCAGAAGATTTAGCTGTTTGTGAGTATAAGTGTAGGGACATCAGAAGATTTAGCTGTTTGTGAGTATAAGTGTGGAGACATCAGAAGATTTACCTGTTTGTGAGTATAAGTGTAGGGACATCAGAAGATTTACCTGTTTGTGAGTATAATTGTAGGGACATTGATGATTTACCTGTTTGTGAGTATAATTGTAGGACATCAGATTTAGCTGTTTGTGAGTATAAGTGTGGAGACATCAGAAGATTTAGCTGTTTGTGAGTAAATGTGGTTGGTGAGTATACTTGTTAGGACATTAGATGATTTACCTGTTTGTGAGTATAATTGTAGGGACATCAGATGATTTACATCAGATGATTTACCTGTTTGTGAGTATAATTGTAGGGACATCAGATGATTTACCTGTTTGTGAGTATAATTGCAGGGACATTGATTATTTACCTGTTTGTGAGTATAATTGTAGGGACATCAGAAGATTTACCTGTTTGTGAGTAAATGTGGTTGGTGAGTATACTTGTTAGGACATTAGATGATTTACCTGTTTGTGAGTATAATTGTAGGGACATTAGATGATTTACCTGTTTGTGAGTATAATTGTAGGGACATTAGATGATTTACCTGTTTGTGAGTATAATTGTAGGGACATTGATGATTTACCTGTTTGTGTATAAGTATAATTGTAGTATAATTGTAGGGACATTAGATGATTTACCTGTTTGTGAGTATAATTGTAGGGACATTGATGATTTACCTGTTTGTGAGTATAATTGTAGGGACATTGATGATTTACCTGTTTGTGAGTATAATTGTAGGGACATCAGATGATTTACCTGTTTGTGAGTATAATTGTAGGGACATTGATGATTTACCTGTTTGTGAGTATAATTGTAGGGACATTAGATGATTTACCTGTTTGTGAGTATAATTGTAGGGACATCAGATGATTTACCTGTTTGTGAGTATAATTGTAGGGACATCAGATGATTTACCTGTTTGTGAGTATAATTGTAGGGACATCAGATGATTTACCTGTTTGTGAGTATAATTGTAGGGACATTGATGATTTACCTGTTTGTGAGTATAATTGTAGGGACATCAGATGATTTACCTGTTTGTGAGTATAATTGCAGGGACATTGATTATTTACCTGTTTGTGAGTATAATTGTAGGGACATTGATGATTTACCTGTTTGTGAGTATAATTGTAGGGACATTGATGATTTACCTGTTTGTGAGTATAATTGTAGGGACATCAGATGATTTACCTGTTTGTGAGTATAATTGTAGGGACATTGATTATTTACCTGTTTGTGAGTATAATTGTAGGGACATCAGATGATTTACCTGTTTGTGAGTATAATTGTAGGGACATCAGATGATTTACCTGTTTGTGAGTATAATTGTAGGGACATCAGATGATTTACCTGTTTGTGAGTATAATTGTAGGGACATCAGATGATATTCCTGTTTGTGAGTATAATTGTAGGGACATCAGATGATTTACCTGTTTGTGAGTATAATTGTAGGGACATCAGATGATTTACCTGTTTGTGAGTATAATTTTAGGGACATCAGATGATTTACCTGTTTGTGAGTATAACTGTAGGGACATTATATGATTTACCTGTTTGTGAGTATAACTGTAGGGACATTGATGATTTACCTGTATGTGAGTATAACTGTAGGGACACCAGAAAATTCACCTGTTTGTGAGTATAATTGTAGGGACATCAGATGATTTACCTGTTTGTGAGGGTAGACATTGATATGACACTTGATGCATTCCTGACCCATGTTGGCCCAGCTGTTTCCGCTCATCCACTTTCGTTTACATTTGGGACATTTGTATTCCCCGAAACATCTCTTCTTTCCTTGGTAGGGTGTGAGTCCCTCCCCCTTGGGCCGAGCCTGAAGTATAAATCAAAAGAAGCATGTTATGGAAATGAAGGTCTTCACTAAGTTGGATATTTCAGCAAGAAGACTCCTGTAGTGTTGTCAATATTTTGGTCATTTCAGGTTGGAGTCTTGCTACCAACGTTAACATTAATGACCCCCACTACACAGCCTTTAATTCCTTGTTCCAGAGACAATTTATAGAAGATACGATGGAAAACATTCATCTTTTACATTTAATCTCACAATGTCTCCATAATAGGCCTTGCCATGAGGGCCAGACCCTCCATTTACAATAATCCTCTTTATCACAGGTTCCAGATCCAATTCATTTTTATTTAGGAGAAGAGAATCTCTCTATTTTCCTTTCAAAACCCCTTCGCCTCAAGCCGTCCATGTTAAGGGTGACAATGGTTGTGGTAAACTCTCTGTAGGTGTAAAACAATGACAATTCCCTTTACTTATTTATGTCCAAGCCATACTATATAATATATGTATAATGTGTCATTGGCCATTTTTCCAAACCTTTCACGCAATTTCATTTAAATCTTACTATACTCACTACAAATACATAATTTAGCAGGTGGAAGTATTAGACAATAAAGCCCTGTTAATATCTATAAATAAATAAAACCTGCAAGTCACTCCTGAGGGTCCATCTTAAACTAAAATAAATATTCCCATACACGTGTACACTATCATTGTATGCAAAACAATTCTGTTGTTAACACTGGTTATTGAGTCAGTGCCAACAACATGCAGGACAATTGATACTTCTCCATATCTATAACACATGTCAGCCTTAGAAATGTATTAGATGTACAACTCTTGTCCTTTCATCAACTTGTGCAATAAGTAATTTGTCAACTAATGAAATAAGTCCATCAACTTGTGTAACAAGCAAGAAATTATTTCCCTTATTCATCAATAATTACGTCCTTCATCTTTGTCTAAATGGCTGAATGTACAAAACCTGGAGTTAGTAACATTTTTACCTATGGACCAATATATATGAATAAGTACCTACAGGTTTTGTTACTAATCCCCTCCTAAGGACCAGTACCTACAGGTTTTGTTACTAATCCCCTCCTAAGGACCAGTACCTACAGGTTTTGTTACTAATACCCTCCTAAGGACCAGTACCTACAGGTTTTGCTACTAATACCCTCCTAAGGACCAGTACCTACAGGTTTTGTTACTAATCCCCTCCTAAGGACCAGTACCTACAGGTTTTGTTACTAATACCCTCCTAAGGACCAGTACCTACAGGTTTTGCTACTAATACCCTCCTAAGGACCAGTACCTACAGGTTTTGTTACTAATCCCCTCCTAAGGACCAGTACCTACAGGTTTTGTTACTAATACCCTCCTAAGGACCAGTACCTACAGGTTTTGTTACTAATACCCTCCTAAGGACCAGTACCTACAGGTTTTGTTACTAATACCCTCCTAAGGACCAGTACCTACAGGTTTTGTTACTAATCCTCTCCTCAGGACCAGCACCTTCTGAAGGACCAGTACCTGTAGGTTTTGTTACTAATCCTCTCCTCAGGACCAGCACCTACCGAAGGACCAGTACCTGTAGGTTTTGTTACTCATCCCCTCCTCAGGACCAGTACCTGTAGGTTTTGTTACTAATCCTCTCCTCAGGACCAGCACCTTCTGAAGGACCAGTACCTGTAGGTTTTGTTACTCATCCCCTCCTCAGGACCAGTACCTACAGGTTTTGTTACTAATCCTCTCCTCAGGACCAGCACCTTCTGAAGGACCAGTACCTGTAGGTTTTGTTACTAATCCTCTCCTCAGGACCAGCACCTACCGAAGGACCAGTACCTGTAGGTTTTGTTACTCATCCCCTCCTCAGGACCAGTACCTGTAGGTTTTGTTACTAATCCTCTCCTCAGGACCAGTATCTATAGGTTTTGTTAAACATCACTTACTATATAGAACAGTACCTATAGGTTTTGTTAACCATCACTAACTATGAACCAGTACCTATGAACCAGCAGTGTTCACCATTACCCCTGAATGACAGGACTAGTATAGGTGTAGGTAAACATGCCTATCTATGAACCAGTACCTATGAACCAGCAGTGTTCACTATTACCCCTGAATGACCGGACTAGTATAGGTGTAGGTAAACATGCCTATCTATGAACCAGTACCTATGAACCAGCAGTGTTCACTATTAGGCTTGAATGACCTGACCCGTGTAGGTGTAGGTAAACATGCCTACTTATGGATGATAGATGATGTAACAGGAAAGTTATGTACGCATCTATTTATAGAGCTGCTTTGTTTACATTGTATGCAATGAAACCCCAATCAGTATGTACAGTGTTCTACTGATATAACTGTAAACCATAATCATCTCCGCAGTGATACATACTGACAAAACATCAAAATATTTCTACAGCCCCATAAACATAACATTGATACCAAAAATTACATCCTCTGTACTTTCGGTTTTGGAAGTTATGAAATCAACACACAGATTATGTTGTTTTAGTCATTTAAGAACTCGTGTATATTTAATTATGGATTACAAATCAGGTAAAGTAATATGAGAAACTATTTACCAATTCTGAATGGAGCAATTAGTCACATACAAGACATTCAACAATTAATGGACAACACAATGGGATTTTAATCATATTTACAAAATGTTCAGTTCCAGAATACTTAGGATCCTTCTATTTGATATACTTTTTGATCCATTTAAAGCTGGATTTCTGCCTGATGTAGACAGTCATAATTAACTGCATGACATTGGTGAGTGTTTAAGTTTAGTGTGTACAGGAGTTGTGATACCCTCATCATTCATGCCTAAGACCTCTAATTCATTAACCAATCAAGCTCCAATTAGTAGTAATTCAATTCAAACAACTGATCTCCTTCATTTCTCCCCAATAATAAAAATGAAGCGAGTCAGGAAAGGGCTCACAGACGGACCCCTACCCCCTCATCTTTTTATTTCAAGCGTTACCTTTAAGCCTTTAAGTTTAACAAATGATCGCCACAATCTAATCAGGTGTAGAACTTCGATGTTTTGATTCTATGGTATTTATATGAACTAAATCTTTTCTTTTTTTTTTTTTTTTCAAAGTGGTCTACTGTGACCTTTGACCCTTAAACCTTTGACCACTGACAACCAAGCTCTAATCTGATATAAAACTTGATGATGTGATGCTGTGGTACGAATATGAATTAAATCAGTTGAGAAGAATGAGATAACTTTTACACAACTTTCATGTAACTATACTCCCCCGCCCTCTTAATCATAAGGGACCATTACAAAAACAAAGTTTTGGAATCTTTTGATCTTTCGTTATACAGTAAATATACAGAAATATACATTGTTCAAACTACAAGCATAATGATACAACGTAAAGTTATGAAATGTAATCCTTGCAAGTTTTAATGTAAATCATTATTGATGTAACTTGGAGATGCCCATTTTTCTTTTAACCTCTGATAGATCAAATATTTCTTGTTACAATGGAACCTTCTTAAATTGTAATTATTTACCTGGCATGCATGTTCCTTGTCCTTAGTATGTTCAATAAATATCATAACTGTAAAGCATTATTCAAGTTAGTAGATAATTACAACCACTTGAGTAATGAACGAAGAATATGATTCATAATTTTATTTTCCATAACAGTGACCTTGACATATCATAGAGAACGATATTCATCTCTTACAAAGCTGTTTCATCAAACTAAGAAAGTATGATTTTAAACTGACTATAACATTAATGATAAAGAATGTGTTGGACAAATGGAACAAATTATTTATTGAAATGCAAAAATGGGACATAATAATACCTCCCACCTATGTGAAAGGTATAAAAAATATTTCACATTTGCTAATAATCAGATTTCACATTTTTCAGATTTTATTAGGAAGACTGAATAATGACATTAAAACTCTCCATCACATTTCAGAGATGAGGTTGATATCAATATTCCACATGTGTCTCTAAAATCTAAAGCATCTCTTTTGAATTTGCAAGCTTATGCATTGTTGTCCTATTCTTTTTGGAACAAGTAATAAAAAGACTTGTCCCACGTCTGCATTCCACAGGGTAATGTGTACCTTGACAACAAGCAGAACAACAGTCGAACAGAGGAAGGAGGCGTACCCAGTGATGGGAGAAATCTACAAATCTCTACACTTATTGGAGTTGACAGGCCAACAACTAACACTGAATTCCAAGTCTCACTACCTACTCAGTATATTAATGGCCACAAGTAGAGACCTATACAACTGTTGAATTTCATTGGCCAGGAGAAAAGTCTATTGTGTTGTGTAGCTGATCATGTTTATAATACATCATGGTCCATGAAACTGGCAGGAGGCCAAACCTGTTAGTCATAGAGATGTATATCTCCTACCCTCAACACATACCCTCCCCCCTCACCCAATATACACATCTACATATGATACTATCTTGTATCCTCAACCCACCTCCACCCTCACCTGCACCAAACCGCATAACTCGCCCTCACACATTAATTCACCACAGAACCACATCTCCCTCATACACTGTCACACAACCTCATCCTCCAAACACTACCACACAACACAACCTCATCCTCAAAACACTACCACACAACACAACCCCATCCTCCAAACACTACCACACAACACAACCCCATCCTCCAAACACTACCACACAACACAACCTCATCCTCCAAACACTACCACACAACACAACCCCATCCTCCAAACACTACCACACAACACAACCCCATCCTCCAAACACTACCACACAACACAACCCCATCCTCCAAACACTACCACACAACACAACCTCATCCTCCAAACACTACCACACAACACAACCTCATCCTCCAAACACTACCACACAACACAACCTCATCCTCCAAACACTACCACACAACACAACCTCATCCTCCAAACACTACCACACAACACAACCTCATCCTCCAAACACTACCACACAACACAACCTCATCCTCCAAACACTACCACACAACACAACCTCACAA